TGGTGATGTTTACAAAACTGCCTATCATTTCAAACAACAATCCGGACCAGTCTGTGATTATGGACTTTTTCACCCAAGTTGGAGGTCATTAAAAATCGTGATAAAAATTATGAGTAAACTAGACACATTTTGTAAACTCTCAGAATTTACGGATCTAGTTTTCGACTTCGTATGATTTTTCTATGATTTTTCCAAAACAGTGCAGAAAGGCTAAGGTTAGCCAACAACATGTAAATATCATAACACTTTGTATTATGTTGAGCAAAGTGTATAATCAGAAGTTCTAATTATTGAATGTGTTTCTTTGTTACTTTATCATCATGAACTGAAACTAAGTCATTCATAATAAATATTATTCATTCATTTTAGAACACGTATATTAAACTATAAAAAGTATAGTTTAATGAATTCATAACACTAATACATTTCCATAAAAGAGTTCTTACATATTACAAACGTTTTAGATAAACCATAATAGGTATAGTTTATGATATATTGCATAACACACTCGTACTAAAAGGGTACATTCATACAGAAAAGATTTACACTCACACACATTATACGTAAACTTGTTACCCTAAATTGTGAGCCAATCTCTTTTTCCGTACGTCTGAGTGCGGAATATAATTCCTGGTAGTTATAATCAGAGTCTCCTGGAGGGAGAACGTGATACTTGTATATAGATCTATATTGGGTTTGACACCCCACACCTTGCTGCTAGCTACAGTGGGACCTGCAGGTCTACGGGTGACAAATGTCATTTCATTTTCGCGACGCCTGAGAAACGTCGTGGCAGGTTCACATAGTCATAGTATGATTATAGCGACTCACATAGGGAGATAACAATTCATAAGTTTACGGGATTTCATAAAACCTAAGTAGGTTTTAGGTTGATTTAAATTCACTTTTTATATCAATTCAAACTCACAACATTCCTACTAAGTAAGAATGATTTCTTATACATTTTGGGTTTTTGTTATAAGGCTACATTATACGGATTTAAGGAAAATATCGGATTTTTCTGAAACAAATGCGACATTTACATGAGAAAGACTTCTATTAAGTTTTATAGCAAAAACTTATGAACTCACCAACCTTTGTGTTGACACTTTTTCAAACAACTTGTATTCTCAGGAAATCACTAAACAGGTAATCAAGTGCTTTTGAGGATGGGACGTTAAGGCGTCAAACTTTTCATATTTTGTCAACATATTGTAATTGATTTTGAAACATGTAATTCATACAAGTGATGTAACTTTTTCAATTATATATATTGGTTGTGTTTGCTTAAATTACTATTGAAATTGTGGTTATGATACTATACATGAAGTCCTCCACCCCCGGACGTTTCCGCCATCCTTGGTTTGGGGGTGACAGATTGGTATCAAGCACGGTTTATAGTGAATTAAGTATGTCAAACCACATAAGATATACAAACTATAAACACATTTGGGACTAAAAGTCTCTGATTCTTAAAACGCTTTAACGAGTTGTACTTTTAGAAAACAAATAGTTTCTTGTTTTAAGGTATACTTACATGCATTATATACTCGCGTAGTGTCATAACTAAGGAGAACATAAATTGAAAGAGGAGGAGTTGAAGATTACTAGTACGCCTTAGCATGTGTAATCAGTTCTGGGAGGGATATAGCCTGATCAACTATATCCATCCGAGAAGTAACTTACGCACACTGGGGAATATTCGTAATAGGCGACAAATCTAATAACCTAACTACACTCTATAAAGAACACGCTAATAACCAAATATAAACATTTAAAAATACTATAGGAGTATTTGTACGTTTCTATAGCGCCATGTTATTATTTTCCGATATGTGCTTCTTAACCCCCCCCCCGTTTCTCGTGCAGACGACATAGCAGGATTTCACATACCCGGGGACCCATACTTTCCCAATCAGGGAAACGCGGGGTGGATCGATGATGAGCCCGAGCAACAAATCGAGGAGGATCCCGAGGAGGATCCCAAGGAGGATCCCGAAGAAGAACCCAAGGAGGAAGACGAACAAGAAGAAGAGGAGGAAGACGAAGAACAACAAGAAGAGGAGGAAGACGAAGAAGAAGAAGAGGAAGATGATTATATAGTCATGGTTGGGAACGAAATGGAGGAACAACCGGAAGTATTCAACCCTCCTTACATCATGAGGGTGCCCGCACACCGTCTTGGATACAACGGACCTGAACCCCCTTGGGTAACGACGATCGAAAGGTGGAGCCGACAACAACGCCAGCGGTCACCATATGGCGACCAACGAGGTTATTATGACCTCATCCATGGTGGACCGGCTGACAGAGCCCTCCCTGTCACGATACATCGAATAGCAAGTATGGATGATCGTGGTAGGACGACGACCGATCAGGTGCGGGAACTAAGCGCCATCGTACAGTCTACCACTGATCGTACCAGAGACCTGGAACGAGACTCCCACCACAAAGACCAAATCATTCAAGACCTTTTCGCTGCTCGAGCAGAAACAAGAAAGTATCGGGAAAGATACATGGCACTCGAAGAGAGAATGGTTGCAACCGAACAGAGATTGGCAGAACTACAGGGCGCATCGACATCATCGCAGACTCCGTCGAAGAAGGGTCGTCGTGATTAGAACTCGTTACTATTCTCACATCTTGGTAGTAATATTTTATGAGTATGCGTTGGTGCTACTCTTTGTATGTAGGTCGACCCTACGACTAAGTGATTACACTATTCAAAGGGCTTTTGTAATGTCAAAGCTATCTCGTGTAACGATGTAGTGTAGACTCTTATGTGGTCAAACTTTTCCCTCTAAACGTTGTGTACTAAAAGTTTATCAATAAATTTTGGCATGCGTTTTATTTATTGAATGTTTGGCACTAGACATCATAACCTGATCACACAAACAGTTTACGAATAATAAAGTTTTGATAAAATACAAGAGAAATGCAACCAGTAACACTCGACTCGTTATCACTATTCAAGTCTTACCGACTGGCCATTTTTTATATTATTATGACAGAACCATGACACCAAGGAGAAGACCAAGACCTTCCGGTAACATAGTGCCGCCCCCACCAGCACCTCTGCAGTTTGATCCTGCGATGTTTCAGGCTGTAGTAATGGCAGCCGTGGCGGCAACAATGTCACAACTGGGTACCAATGGTTCTGGCAGTTCTGGATCCGGAGCTACCAATTCAATTCATGGGGACAGCACGGGGCGTGCGAGGGAGTGCTCTTACAAAGACTTCACGAATGGCAAGCCCGACCCTTTCAACGGAAGCGGGGGCATCATCACACTGGTGCAATGGTTCGAAAGGACCGAGGCAGTTTTCGAAATCTGTGCTTGTTCCGAAGCGAGCAAGGTCAAGTATGCAACATTCACTTTCACCGAAAAAGCACTTACTTAGTGGAATGGCCGAGTTAAATCACTTACTCCTGCAGTAGCTAACGCTATCAGCTGGAAGGATTTGAAAGCTTTGATGTTAATGGAGTATTGCCCGAGGGGCGAAATACAAAAACTTGAAGAGGAACTTTGGAACCTTAGAATGTCAGGCACTGATCTTGAAACTTATGCTGCCTGTTTCAATGACCTAGCACTCCTCTATCCAACAATGGTCACTCCAGGGGAGAAAAAGGTGGAACGATACCTATGGGGCTGTCATCCCAGATTCAA